CACCCGCTCCAAGGTAGCTTTCAGGCTGTTCAATCTTGTCCTTCTTGAACTTGAATTTGTAGCTTATCTGTTCCATAACATCTTTAGCGTTTTCAGACATGCACAAGATGTCATCAACATAACACAAGATATATTCGTAGTATTCTTCCCCGTCTGGTTTGATAGCTGCTGGCATCCAAACATCGTGATCGGCATATGATGAGTAAAATCCCAAGTTCTCCAATGTCTCTGCAAGGTGGGACCTGAATGCTATCGCAGCAGATTTCAAACTATATAATGCTCGCCTAACAATGAATGTTTTACCCTCCTCGTCTCCAAATTCAGGGCCCGCAATCATGTAACACTTTTCAAGATTGGGTGCGGTGAGGAAAGCATTTTGAATGTCAGCGCACTGGACATCCAAACCATTCAATGCTGCAATGGTGAGTAATATTCGTACAGAATCTCGGGCTACCACAGTGCTGTATGTCAGTGCTGCTGGCGCTTCTGTTTTGTGTCCATCAGCGCAATATCGAGCCTTTCGTTGGAAGTTTTCACCAAGTTTGACATCAAATACCATGTGACCAGTGATGCGTTTGTATCCAATTAGCTTTTTGATGTCCCCGCCAAATTCCTCAAAGGCAACTCAATTGTTTTTCATTTCCATTTTGATTGCATCTTGCCACAAGGTATCACCATTTTCTCGATCAATTTGAATAGCCTCCTTAACAGATTTTGGGATGCGGATACCGTATTTGTGGGTCCGTTCCCAATATTTTGATTTTACCTTGCTTATAAAACGATCACGCTTTTTGTGTACATGTGGAACCCACCATGCGAATGCTTGTTCATCTTCAATAGCCTTTAACTTGGCATAATCTGCAACCTCAAGGGGAAAGGATTCTTTCATGTCTTTCAGTGTTACCCAATTGGATGATCCGTCCTTCCAGATCACATGAAGTTCCCAGCCAGCAGTTGTTTGACGCTTTCGAGTCCGTCCACTAGGGAGTTTCATCCACTATCCGTTGTTTCACCTTTGCCCTTTGGAGTTTGCCTCGTCGTAAACCAATCTCCATGTTGGTGTAATCTTGGGCATCAAGGTCATCTGCAGCTTCTTCAGTCCCTCAAAGTCGCCATCTTCCAGCGTCTCTGGGTTGATAAGCATACCAAAGTTGCGCATAAATTCGTCATCCTCGTCGTCAAAATCAAACATCATTTGATGAGGAATGTCTTCCTTCCCCCAGTTGATGTAAGTAGATTTAGCGTCAACTATCTTAGAGACATCAGCTGTCCAACATTGCATCTGTTGTTTGACGGAATCAGTTTGCTGTTCAGCGTTGGTTACCATTTGGACAGGGATATCCCGCAGTTTTCTGTGAAGCCAGCTTTCTCTTTTTTTTGGAGAGTCGATGTGGTCATTTTCACCCTCTTCTGCACGAAACTCCAAAAATCGACTTTCACTTATTGCCTGTCAGAAAGAAACTTCTACGACAAGGAATTTTATAAATGTTCACAATGCCGTTAAGTGTTCAACTTCATTCGCCAGATTAAGTTTTGAAGTTTGTTTTATTTTCACAGCAATTGCGGAACATCTGTAATGACCCCCAAAAAACCTGTAAATTTTTCACAGAAGTTTCGGAACATCTGTGAAAAATTCACAGAGATTTCGGAACATCTGTGAAAAATTCACAGAATTTTTGACTCAGACGATAGAAAATTCACAGAATTTTTGACTCAGGCGATAGAAAATTCAACTCAGAAGACGGTGCCAACTTAACCGTTTTTTTCAAATTTGGTCACGCTTGCTGAAGAGAAAACGCAAAGAGAGTTTCAGAATCTTTCAGGATGATGCTTGGAATCGAAGTGACACCAGAACAGGTGCTGATCTACGGATTTGAAATTATTGGGGATTCACCTACCACGATTACTGATGACGACTTCAAGGAGCATAATATTGGAGTTTTCAAGGCTCATTTTGGCCAACGCCCCACTGGCCAACGCCCCAGCACTCTATGCATTCTCTGGCAAGACATTTTGAATTGTATGAACAAAGACTTGGGGCTCCGCGCATCTGACAGGAGTAAGGAGGGACTTAAGCGATTGCTAGTTGCAATCCACTCCCTTGCCTCAGCTACTGGGATATGCACACAAAGGGACCAAGACGACAACCTATGGCACTGGGTGAAAGTTCTTTGGGCACTGGAAGCAAATGTGATCAGCTGGTCGGAGAAAGAGTACAAACAAAAGAACTATGGTCCAAGAAAATTTATCTTGAATAAACTAGATCCATACCTTTTTACGCACCTACACTGTGATTACTGACAACGACTTTAAGGAGCATAATTTTGGAGTTTTCAAGGCTCATTTTGGCCAACGCCCCACCAGCACTCTATGCATTCTCTGGTAAGACATTTTGAATTGTACGAACAAAGACTTGAGGCTCCGTCCATCTGACAGGAGCAAGGAGGAGCTTAAGCGATTGCTAGTTGCAATCCACTCCCTTGCCTCAGCTACTGGGATAAGCACACAAAGGGACCAAGACGACAACCTATGGCACTGGGTGAAAGTTCTTTGAGCACTGGAAGCAAAGGTGATCAGCTGGTCGGAGAAAGAGTACAAACAAAAGAACTATGGTCCAGGGAGAAAAATTTTCTTGAATAAACTAGATCCATACCTTTTTACCTACCTACACTGTGTGACTTTGCCTACAATGTGTGACTCTGGTTTTTTACTGCGATAACGTTTTTCTAACAGCAATCTTTTTCCGCAGTCATTGTTGTGCAAATCGATGACGCATCAAGTTGTTCCGTTAGTTTGTTTCGGAACATCTGTGAAAAATACACAGAGATTTCGGAACATACATAGTGCAGCCATAAATGTTATATTTCCTAGCTGAACCCACCATTCGCCACAATTTCGACATTTCGGAACATCTGTGAAGACCCTTAAAAAACCTGTGAAAAATTTACAGAAGTTTTGGAACATCTGTGAAAAATTCACAGAGATTTCGGAACATCTGTGAAAAATTCACAGAATTTTTGACCCAGACGACCAAGCATTGCTTGCGAACAACATTAACCGTTTTTCCCTCTACGGAAGTTGTATGGTGCTTTTACGAAAGGGCATGCGTGCACACATGTCAGCTGAACGTCTGTTGAAACTTCACAACAATTTCGGAACATCTGTGAAGACCCTTAACGGTCCGTCCGCCGCTCAACAGATCATTTTCATACTCATTTGTCGGAAGACTGCTGATCCAAGATTTTTAACCCCATACAGACCTACAATCAAAATTTTCTGCGTACAAATGTTTTAGTTTGGGTCCTTAGCTTTCATCCCATTGGGTGAGCACCTCTCTGCTATGCTCTAGAGAGCTGCTGTAGCGCAAAATGTCAATAAATCCTTTGGATAGCAATCAAAAGGAGCTGATAACATTGTGCTAAAGCGACTCACTAGAGCATAACAGAGAGGTGCTCACCCAATAGGATGAAAGCCAAGGACCTAAGCTAAGACATTTGTATGGGGGAAATTTTGATTTTAGGTCTGCATGGGGTTGTCCTGTTGAGCGGCGGACGGACCGTTAAAAAACCTGTGAAAAATTCACAGAGATTTCCGAACATCTGTTGGTCATTCACAGAGATTTTGGAACATCTGTGAAAAATTCACAGAATTTTTGACTCAGAGGACAAAAAGAATAGTCAATTAGGGGAACTATCTGTAATTTAATGAACTACGACCAAAACGCGACGATCACCGACCAAGAATGAATTCCACGAGCAGTGATGATGTCGGATCACAGATCCCCGTGCAGAAGGAGTGAGCAAGCCGGTCAGGCCCCGATTCCGGTTCAGATTCACACCAAAATGCGGAATATCCCTGGTTTACCAAAGGATATGCTTACTATTAACATACCTCCTACACCGAGGCGCAATCCAAGACGGAAGACTCGTTATAGTCATGGTAATCGCAATGGGGAGAGAACTGATAATGGCCCTCCCCCACAAACCGAGCAAGCACACGAACCTCTGCCACCAACTACTACAGAGTATAAGAATCCGAGCTCTGCCGTGAAGTCTCGTGAACGCGATTGGGAGCGACTGCGACGATACTTTGCATGGTTGCCTAAGCTCGTAATTCAGAAAACGTTTGACTGTACAACTCAGTTGGCTCGCATTCCCATGAGTGCCCACCTTCAACGTCACTACCGTTCACCGTTCCCAGCGCTTAATGTCAACAGATGTAATGAAGGTTTAGCCACCGATACCGTCTATGCTGACACGCCAGACATTGAACATGGACATGTGGCAGCCCAGTTCTATGTGGGACTATCCTCTCTTGTTAGCGACGTCTATGGTGTCACTTCGGATGCTCAATTTCTCCAGACATTACAGGACAACGTACGGAAGCGAGGAGCACCATCCAAACTTGTGAGCGATCGGGCTCAAGCACAAGTTTCCAAAGCAGTGAAAGACTACCTCCGTTGGCTATGC